TATTACTAGGCCACCAAAGTTCTCTATTAACAAATGTTAGCCAGTCTATTTCTGTATAATCAGTCCTGTGAAGTCCATATGGACAGTCACTGTTTATGTATTGTTAAAAAATGTATTTGTGATTAATAAATCATTAATTGTACAAAATTATATCCTATGTTCTCCAGCCTCATTTTGGTTACCACATCCATATTTCCCTTGTTTCCAACTTTTGCATTCCATTCACCAATTATTATTAATGCATGTGAGTTTCCTGTTTAATCAATTTCAGACTGAAAAAATTGGTAGAAGTCATAAATTGTTTCTGAATTTAGTATTTTGTGTGTATATTTGGATTAGACAATTGTATGCTCTATTATGCCAAGAATGACAAATTGAAGAATAGTGTTGCATTCAAGATCTCTCCTAAAGTAAAATACTGTGACAGGATACTCTACAAGGAAGACTTATGAATCTATTACTCAAATATACACACCAGCCACTAAAGCCAACGATGAAGAAATTGAAGACTTCTATGTAATTTTAAGCATCAGCAACAGAAGGAAGCATTTTCAACTCTGCCTCCACTTAAGACATCAGCCAGACATTTGTGGCTTCAGGGCTTAGAGCAAGCAAGCACTAGCAATAGAAGGAGGCATTTTTGACCCACCTTCACTACAAGTTCAGAGCACCAGCATCTCGGATCCAGCTGAGGCATCACCCTCACTTGGGACATTATCCTGTTGTGCCAACCTTGTGCTTCAGCTGGAAGACTCCAGCATGCAACCATGGCCACATCCTGTCACACTGCCACTGACTTCAGATGGGCCCTACACCATGATTTTCATATGCCTGATTTTCTTTCTGAGCAGACAAAATAAGCCACATGAAGACAGAGCAGGAGCAGGAGCTCAGAGACAAGCACCTTCCTCCAGAACCACCAGACAGAAAGCCTTCCCCTAGAGTGGGGGGCCTGGGATTTGAACTTGGATCCTCCTAAACTGTGAGACTTATTGGTCAGTTTGTTTTAATGTGAAATTACCTACTTACTACTTACTTTATGGCTTAAGTATATGTGTATTCCTGCTTGTTTATTATTATTCTACTTGTACAGCACTTGTCTGTCAGTTTGCTGTACTGACATTACTTGTGGGTTGCTGTGATGCTAAAAGCTGTGCCACTTGTGGGTCAAATGTCAAAAGGGTCACTCTTGGTTGACAGGTTTTAGTAGAGCTCTCACATTGAGACAGACTAGGAAGCAGGATTAGCCACCCACTTCTTAAATAGTAGGCTACTGAACACTTATAGACAGAGAGAAACATGGAAAGTTATAGTATTAGGAGTAGAGCCCAGATTGAAAATCAATCAAAATGAGGAGAAACAGCTGCAAACATCCTTTAATAGTGGGAACATGGGATATACAAAGTATGAATGTTGAAAAACTAGTTGTGAAAAATGAAATGGAACACATGAACATCAACATTCTAGGCAATAATGAGATGAGATGGACTGTCTTTGGCCACTTTGCTGGGAATGAAAGACAGAAGAAGAATGGTGTTGCATTCATGTGTTAAAAGACTGTTTCAAATTCTGTCCTGACGTACAATGTTGTGAGTGATAGGATATTATTCATATGAATACAAGGAAAACCTGTTAATAGGACTATTATTCAAATATACACACCAACAGCTAAAGGCAAAGAGGAAAAAATTGAAGATTTTTACCAAATTTTATAGTCCAAAATTGACCAAACATGCACTCAAGATTCATTAATGGTAATTGGTGAGTTCAATGTAAAAGTTGGGAACCGTTAAGAAGGCATAATAGTCAGAAAGTATGGGCTTGGTGACAGAAATGAGGCCAGAAATAGAATAATCTAATTCATTGGCCTAGTGGCAAGAAGCTGCCCTGCAAACTTAAAGGCACACAGTTCAAGGCCACTATCTACTCCACAGGAGATGGATGGATAATCTCCTTCCATCTGATTAACTGCCTCTGAAAACCCACTGGAGGGTCAGCTATGGGTTGGTTCTGACTCTACAGTACACAACAACAACAATACCTTTTAAAAAAACAAACCTTACAGATGGCAACTTTACACATGGACCTCACCAGATGGACTTCAGAGGAATCAGACTGACTACATCTGTGGAAAGAATCTTTGAAGAAGCTCAATATCAGGAGTCAGAACCAGACCAGATGCTAACTCTGAAACAGACCATCAATTACTTATGTGTTAAGTCCATATTGAAATTGAAGAAAATGAAAACAGTTCACAAGAACTAAAATACGACCTTGAATCTATCTCATCTAAATTTTAAAACTTTCTGAAGAATATATTTGAAATACTAAATACTAATCATCAAAGACCAGATGAGTTGTGGGATGACATCAAAGATAAGATACATGAAGAAAGTAAAAAAATATTAGAAAGACAAGGGAAAGAAAAGATCAACATAGATGTCAGAAGAGATCCTGAAAATTTCACCAGACATTTGGCTTTGGTGGTTTTCCCCCATGAGAATCTGGTACCTCTAAGGTTGTTGTAATTTCTCTTTTGGTTTTGTAAAACACAGGTGTGTGTGTGTGTGTGTGTGTGTGTGTGTGTGTTAAGTGCCATCAGGTAGCTTGCAACTCATAGCAATCCTATGTACAACAGCTCTGAACTCTGCTCTACCCAGAGCCAACCTTATCATCTCCAACACACCCACTTCCATTACACCAGTCACTGAGTCAATCCATCTCTTTGAGGGTCTTCCTTTCTTGTACTGTCCCTTCACCCTCCCACGCATGATGTTCCTCCCCAAGGACTGGTCTCTCTTTTCAACATGTCCAAAATATGTCAGATGGAGCTTCAGAATCCTTGCCTCCAAGGAGCAACCTAGTTTCACCCTCTCCAGGACAAATCTATTTGTTCTCCTAGCAGTCAGTCTATGGTACATTCAATACTCTTCTCCAGCACCACAACACAAAGGCATCAATTCTCCTTCTTTCACCCCTAGTCATTGTCCAACTTTCTGATGCATAGCAAGTAATTGTGAAGACCATGGCCTGGAACAGGTGCACCTTTGACTGCAGACTTACATTGTTGCTCCTCAGTACTCTGGAGAGGTACTTGACAGCAGATTTTCCCAATGCAATTAATCTTTTGATTTCCTGGCTGCTGGTACGAAGAGTGATTATGGAGCATGCTGCCATTTGGCCCAGCTGTGAGAATCTTTGTTTTCTTGCAGTTGAGCTTCAATCCATATTGAAGGCTGCAGTCCTTGACCTTCTGCAGCAAATGCCTCAGATCCTCTTCACTTTCAGCAAACGAGGTTGTGTCAACTGCTTAATGTAGGTTGTTTATGAGTCTTCCTCTGATCCTTTTACCACATTCCTCCTCATAAAGCCCAGCCTCCAGAATGATCTGTTCTACATATAGATTGAAAAATATATGAATATAGGATGCATCCCTGGTGTATACCTTTCCTGGTTTTGAACCATGCAGTGTTCCCTTGCTCTGTTTGACAGCTGTCTTCTGGTTAAGTATAGGTTTCACATAAGCACAATCAAGTGTTTTGGGATTCCCATTCTTCTCAGAGTTAACCACAGTTTGTTGTGATCCACACAGTCCAATGCCTTTGCATAGTTCAATGAAACATAGATAGACATTCCTCTGGTATGCTCTACTTTCAGCCACGATCCCTTTAACATTAGCTATAATATCCTTAATACTATGGCCTCTTCTAAACCCAACTTGCATATGTGGCAGTTCTCTGTTAGTGTGCTGTTCTAGTTAGTTTTAGATACTTTTCAGCAGGATCTTGTTTGCATGTGATATTAATGATATTGTTTGATAATTTCCACACTCTGTTGGGCCACCTTTTTTGGAATGGGAACAAATATCATTCCCTTCCAGTCAGTTGGCCAGGTGGTTGCCTTCCAGATTTCTTGGCACAATTTGGTGAGAGCATCCAGTGCAGCATCTGTTTGTTTAAATATGTCAATTGGTATGCTGTCTATTCCTGGGTTCTTTTTTTTTTTTGCCAATTTCTTCAGAGCAGCTTGAATTTCCTCCTTCATCATAACAGAAATATATATGTTTTTATTGTGATTTTATTGAAATTTTACAGAAAGAATGAGTTTTCATTAATTCATTAATACACATTTTCTTCTTTCTCCTTCCTCCAAGTCACCTTGTAATGCATGTCTTGTTCCAGATTGTTAATTGTCATAAATAAAATATCTAGTCCTCCATTCCTTTCATATAGTCCTTCCCTTCACTTAGCCTCTCCTAACAACATGCCCAAAATATCCTCCACCATTTTTGCCTCCAAGAAACACTCTGGTTACACTTTCTCCTAGACATATGATTGTTCTTTTTGCAGTCCATGGAATATTCAGCTCTCTTCTCCAACACCACAGTTCAAATACATAGATTCTCCTTTCATCATCCATATTCTTTGTCCAGCTCTCAGATGCATAGCAGATGATTGGAAAGACGACTTGAACCAGGCATATTTTAGTGTTTAAACAGATATCATTGCTCTTCAGAACTTTGGAAAAATCCTTGACAGCCAGTGTTCCCAATGTTATAAATCTCCTGATTTTTTTTCTTTCTTTATTTATTGAGATCTGAGTGTTTACAAGGCAAATTAGTTCTCCATTCAGCCATTCATACACCTTTTGTTTTAGAACATGAATTACTATACCCCCAATGCAATCACATTCTTCTCACTTCCTCTCCATCAGTCTCATTTCCATATCTTTCTATCCCCCTTGATTCATTAAATACGCTTTTATCTTGGGATATCTTGGGTTTTCAGAAGAGGACACACGCTTGTCTCACCAAGGAGAGATGGACAATCAAATACTTTGACTGGAGTGGACTCAGCATTTGGGGAGACCTGTCCACTGCACTGTACCTCTTCTCCCACATCTTGAGAACCAGTATGCTGTCTTGGTGCGTGGCCTTGCCAGAGGGAGGCCAGATATGCGTTCTGGGTTCTCACAGGCTGTGAGCGGTGCCGTGGAGGCTGCTATTCTAAGTCTGCCGTGGAGACGCCCAGGTACTCCCTCAGGTCCGACAGCGTGGACTGGACAAGCTTGGCAGGGATGGTCTCTCGCTGCAGTTGGCTGTAGGCTGCGTAGCGGTGGCAGCCCCCAAAGGAGTAGAAGTAGTCACCACCTTGAGCCCCTTTGATCCAGAGGACGTCAATGGGGGGCACACTGTCGGGGTCCTCCCGGATCGTGTCCACCAGGCTCTGCACCTTGACCGGGTCCAGCACCGACGGCAGGGGCCGGATGAGCACTTTGAGCGGCACGTTGTGCACCGCGGTGATGCAGCCCGAGTGGATGCTGCCGCCCTGAGCGCCGCCGCCGGCCCCGGGCCCCCAAATCTCCTGATTTCTTGACTGCTAATACCAAGAATGTTGACTGTGGATCCAAGCAAGATGGAAAAGTTGACAATTTAAATATTTTCGCATTTATCATGATTTATCAGGATTCTTGTTTTCTTTATGTTGTGATGTAATTAATATTGAAGGCTGCAATCCTTGATTTTCCATTCTTCATTGATGGCATTGGAAAAAAAAAATAAGGCCCCATGAATGACTGGGATACCAACTGACATGTTCCAAAGAGAGAAACAGCTCTGAAGGTGCTCACCAATTTGTGCCAGGACATTTGGAAGACAGTTACCAGGCCATACAACAGAATGTGGAAATTATTAAACAATATCATTAATATCACATGTAAGCAATTATTGCTTAATATCATCTAAAAATGGCTAGAACAGAGAGTTGCCACAAGTTCAGACTGGGTTTAGAAAAGGCCATGGCACCAGGGATATCACTGCCGATGTCAAAATGATCTTGGTAGAAAGCAGAGAATACCAGGAAAATGTCTATTTGTGCTTTATTGATTATGTAAAGCCATTTTACTGTGTGGGTCATAACAACTATGGCTAACTTTGAGAAGAATGGAAATTCTAGAACACTTAATTATGCTCATATAAAATCTTTATCTAGACCAAGAAACTGAACAAAGCAAGGAGATATTGCATGGTTTAAAATTGGGAAAAGAGGGTATCAAGGCTGTATTCTTTCTCCATACTTATTCAGTCTGTAAGCTGAGAAAGAAATTAGAGAAGTTGTACTTCATGAAGAAGAGTATGGCATCAGGAGTGGAGGAAGACTCATCAACAACTTGCATTATGCCAATAACACAATCTTTCTTGTTAAAAGTGAAGATCTGAGTAGTAGAATAGCTGGTTTGATTATTATTTCTATTTCCAACTGTTTGAGAAAGCAGCAAACTGCCTTCCCCAGTGGTTGCACCATTTTACATTCCCACCAGCAGTATATGAGAGTTCTAATCTCTCCACATCCTCACCAGCTTTTGTTGTTTGTTGTCCTGTCAAACTTTGCTGTTGTTGCTGGGGTGAGATGATATCTCATTATTGTTTCAATTTGCATTTCTCTACTATCTAGAGATTTCTTCATGTGCTTTTTAGTCATCCGATCTTCTTTGGTAATGTATCTATTGTTCTGTTAAACTCTTGAGATTTTATCAGTTCTGGATAAATTTGACATTTCTATATTTCACATTAGTGTTACTTAGAATCTCTCATTGGCACAATTTTGGGTTTTAATGTCACAAAGATGATCTTATCCACCCATGACTCTGGCACATAGTGAACTTTTTGCTGCTTTCCTTAAGCCATTGTATGGAATTCTTTGTAGTGTACATTCATGGACCTAGCTGTAACTGGAAAAACAAGGTTTTGCCACCTACTGCTGGAACAAACAAATGAGTAAGAAGGAGAAAAACCACAAGATTATACATACACATGAACCAAGTGTATAAAGGAGACAAGGAAGTATAAGCGTCTCCCCACGTGTCAGCAAGGGGAGGTTCTGGGTGGATATTTGTATGCTAAGAATATAGGGAATTGCTCATGTTTACTCAGTCTTTTTAGGAAGATATTTAACTCATTGTCCTCTAGTCAGAGCAACTATAGCTTGACCCTCCATCGGTTTCCGTGGCTACACGGGAGGAGAATGCCCATCTTTTTCCCTTGGAGCCACCGCTGCATTCAAACTGGCAGAGAGGTTCAGCCTCTCTGGGTTAGTATCACAACTCCTTACCTATGAGGTCACCAGAGACTCCTTAGGAGGGAGCATTTTTAAAAACTTGTTGCCATAAAGTTGTAACTGATTCATAGCTGACAGTCCAGCAAATTTTCTGAGGGTGCAAATTGTATGGGAAGAGACTGTTTTTCTCCTATTGAGCACCTGGTAACTTCGAACTGGAGAGCACAGCCTTTGGATTAGCAGTGCAGCTCCCGACTGACTGTGCCACTGTTGTCTAATGTTGTAGAATCAACTATGACTCATAGTGACCCGATGAACAGCAGATTGGAACCTTGCCCTATGCTGAGTCCTCCTTGCAATCTCCAGCAATATAGATAGAGCTCATTGTCATAATCACTCTGTCCATCCATCTTATTGAGGATGTTTTTCTTTCTCTCTGACCTTCGACCTCTGCCACTAGAGCTCCCTTTAAGAAGGAAACACAAAGTTTAATAAAAATTGAGAGATTACGCAAATTAGTAGGCACACACACCTGGTCTCCAAGAAGGCGTCTTACCAATGGATGTGTCATCATCACAAGACCCTGCAGGTTTCCCTCTTTCAAGGTGGAGCTGATCTGGTTTGGTGCTTTGTCACCACAGAACACGGCTCTTTCACGGTTTCCTTCTAGAAGGTCACACAGTGGTCACTCACGGCATCTGAAAGTTCTTGGCAGAGTTAAAGGCTGTTAAGAGGGAACACCTGGGTTTACTCAGACTAATCAGGTAGGGCAAGTTTTGGGGCATTTTGATGCCTGCATTAGCTGAATGCTTGCCCTTTTGGTCTGCACTATCTTAGGGGAAAAGACTTTGATCCAGAATATTATGTAAAGTTGTTGGTAAGTGCTATTGAGACTACTATGACTCACAGTGACCCTATGAACAACAGATCTGAATCTCGCCCTAACCTGTACCATCTTCACCATCTCTAATAAATTTGAGCCCATTCTTACAGTCACTGCGCCAATCATCTTATTGAAATGTTCCTCTCTTTCCCTAATCCTTCACCTTTCTCAGTATGATGGTTTTTGTTTTGTTTTGCAAAGAACTAGTCCCTCTGATAATATGCTCCAAGTATGTGAGATGAAATTTCACCATCTTTGCCTCTAAAGAGCACTGTGGTTACACTTTCTCTGAGACAGAATTGCTTGTTCTTCTGGGAGTCCATGAGATATTCAGTACTTTTCCCACACATCACGATTCAAGAGAATCAGTTTTCTTCTGTCTTCCTTATTTATTGTCCAACTTTCAGGTGCATAGTAAGTTATTGAAAAGACCATGACTTGAATGAGGAACACCTTACTCTTTAAACTGACATCCTTACTCGTTTCCTAATGTGTCTTTTGATGTTTGACCTGCATTACCATGTGTGTTGATCATAGATTTAGGTAAGATAAAATCTTTAACAACTTCAATCTTTTCTATATATCTCATGATGTTGCCTATTGTTCCAGTGCTGAAGAATATTTTCTTAATACTGAGGTATAATACATAGATAAGGCTGTAGTAGTTGATCTTCTGCAGCAACTGTTTCAAGTCCTCTTCACTTTTTTGCAGTTTGTCATCTGCATAATGCAGATTGTTGATGAGCCTTCCTCCATTCCTGAAGCCACATCTTTCTTCTTAGAGTCCAACTTCTCAAATTATTTATTCAGCATAAAGATTGACTAGGTATGGGAAAAGGATATGACTCAGATACAGACCTCGCAGTGTTCCCTTGTTCTCTTCAGACAACAGCCACTTGGTCTATATATTGGTTTCACATGTGTTACTGTTGCTGTTGTGTATCATCAAATCAGAACTGACTTATAACTGACCCTCCTGTGGGTTTTCAGAGGCAGTTAATCGCAGGAGAGAAGATTGACCCTTCTCCCACGGAACAGCTGGTGGATTTGAAGTATGCAGCTTTGAGTTGGCAGGACATTTCCTTACCACTAGGCCATTAGAGCATCTCAGGTTCCACATGAGCACAATTAAATGTTCTGGGCTTCCCATACTTCTCTATGTTATCCATTATCTGTTATGATGTACACAGTCAAATGCCTTTGTATAGTCAATAAAACACAAATATCTTTCTGACATTCTTTGTTTTCAGCCAAAATCCATCTAATATCAGCAATGATATCCCTAGTTCTCTTCTGAATCCAGCTTGAAATTCTGGAAACTTCCTGTTGATGTACCATTCTAGTAATTTTAAAATAATCTTCAGCAAGATTTAAAATGTATTTAATAGTTTTTGGTCTTTAATTTTTTAAAAAAGAATTTTATTTTATATTGGTTTGTTTACAAGGCTCATGTGCATTGTGTTTCACACTATCTTTCATTCAAATTGTGTTTCATATAATCATTCACATTCATTATGCTTTATAAAACTAATCACATATGTGTAATATTAATAATACTGCTCATTTTCACATCCTGTTCAACTACCTATATTTGAAATAAGAACAAATACCGATCTCTTCTAGTCATTTGGCCAAATAGCTATCTTCAAAATTTCTTGGGATAGGTCAGTGAGCATATACAAGGTTATGCCTGTTATTTGAAACATGTCCATTGGTATCCCATCAATTCCTGGGGCCTTATTTTTTGTCAATACTTTTAGTGCAGCTTGAATTTCTTTATTCACTACCATTGTTCTTGATCATTTGCAATTTCTTGAAATGTCTCAGTGTCAACCAGCTCTTTTTGGTACAGTATCTACTCTGTGTATTCTGTTTTTTTTAATGCTTCCTGAATCATTCAAAGCAGCCCAAATGACCATCAACAAGTGAACAGATTGAGAAATTGTACATTCACACAATGGAATACTATGCAGCACTAAGAAGAATAATTTTGAAAAATACTATATTACTTGGGAAAGTCTAGAGAACATTTTGCTGAGTGAACTATCTCAGTTATATGAGGCCAAATGCATAAAGCCACTATTGTGAAAATAGGAAGATAACTGGTAAGACTTGTATAAATTTTCAAAGAGGAAAGGAGAGAAGGTCGCAGGAAAAAGGGGAGGGGAAATCTTTGGAATAGCAGTGATTAGTGGTTGGAGTGAGAGTGAAGTAATGGGAATAGTTCAATGGGAGCTTGAAAGATGGGGTGATAATATAGAGTAATAGTAATTAGTTTATATAACATATAATACATACCAATGATTGCATAAAATACAAAGCACATGTACAAAACATTTGTCAGAATGATTGTATGCAAACCAGTACAAACTTTAAATAGAAATCACTATGAGAAATTTTAAAAATGTTTATTTAAAAAAATATTTGGCCCATAGAATCCTTTAGGATGGCAACTTGATACTTGAACTAAGTTTTTTAGTTTTTTTTTCATTCTTTCAGCTTAAGAAATTCCAAGTGTATTCTTCTCTTCTGATTTTCTAACTCCAGCTCCCTACACATCTCATTGTAACACTTGTGAAAAAGACTGTCCGTCTTTCTCCGTAGGGGAAGCTGGTAGATTGGAACCACCAGAGAAGTGCAGCCTGTGAATTTGCAGCACAACTCACTATGGACTTCACCACCAGAGCTCTTTATGCAGACTTGTTGTTGTTGTGTGCCATTGAGTCAGAACTGACTCATAGCTGACCCTTCAGCAAGTTTTCAGAGGCAGTGAATCTCAAAAGAGGAGATTGTTCCTCCTTCTGAGAAGCCGTTGGTGGATTAGAACTGCGTGCCCTGGGATTGCAGCACAGCTTCTTACCACTAAGACACCATAGCTCCTTGCTTAGATTTAGCCATGGGCACACCAGAGGTCAGTTGAGTTAAATATATAACTAAACTGAATTCGTAAAAGAACCCAAACTTCCGTAATCTTGATCCCAGAAGAACTGGCTGATGCTCATCTAACACCACTAGAATATTCCTAAAGGGATCACATGAGAAGATTGATCCTAGATCCAGTTGGACAAAATGTGGTGCAAACAAACAAAAACACTAAAACAAAATGCCAGGCTCATTGGTCTAATGGAGACATGTGGAACCCCTGAGGGCATGGCCTTCAAAACTAAAACAAAACTTACTCTTGAAGCTCAACTTTTAGCCCAATAGACAGATTTGTAAGATGACCGATAACACCAGAGAGGCACTAACTCTCTAAAATGTTGTTGTTGTTGTTAGGTGTCATCAAGTCCACTCTGACTCAAAGAGACTCAATCTGCAACACGTTTGAACCTTCCCTTACTTATCCAGCACCATTGTCATGACTCTGCCATGCTTGAGTCCATTGTTCCAGTCATTGTGTCTATCCCTTTTGTTGCGGATCTTCCTCTAACTTTCCCAGCAGGATGTCTTTTTCCAAGAACTGATCCCTCCTGACAAATTTATGACTTCTTATAATAACCCTCATATAAAGTAAAAAGAGTAGTGTCTGCCAATTGATAAAGCCTTGAAAACAGTAGGATGAGGTTGGGGGTGGGTAGGATAGAAAGATTCATGGAAATTAGAAGCACCAATGAACACCGGGAACTACCGACAAAGAAGGACTCAGCATGGCAGGACCTTGACTGGACTTTCAGCCTCTGGAACAGTGGGAAGACACTTTCATCCTTTACACCCCCTGCCTTTGGTACATTTCAGCAGCACTTGTGAATCTAACACTATTCAGTCTCTACACAAGGAGAACTGCCTAGAGGACCCTTTGGGGAAAGTGGAGAGCAGGGCAAGATGGTGAGGCGATTACAGAAATGTCAGAAGTGGAGGACTTAACAAACAGGGTTATAATGTTTTATAGTGACGCAGACTCTAAGTCCAAACTTGGAGCACCAGAATGTGATTACATTCTGAGTTTATAATTAATATTTTAAAAACAAAATTTATGTGAATGATTGAATTAAAAACCAATTTGCTTTGCAAACTTTCACTCAAATCACAATTTTAAAAGAACGTCTAAAAATCTCCAAAACAAGTGTTTACAAAATGATGGGAACAGAATGATGGGCAGTCTCTTCCTGTATGATTATCTACTTCTGAAATCCCACTGGACGTTCAGCTATGGGTCAGTTCTGACTCAACAATGACAATTGGCCAAATTTGGTAATTTGAATTGAAAACAAGTTACATAGATAACATATAAAACATTGAGTAAAATTAAAATCCATATTTAAAAATTCAAGCAGCACATGATAATATAAACTTAAATGAAATAAATAGGAGAGAATACTCAGATGATAGAACGCTAACTCATAAATGTAAAAAGAATGTTAGAATTAGAAAATCAATGGATGCTAGAACTAGAAGGTGAAAGTTGAATGGGGAATATTACATTTATGATTTCAAAGTATCTCCCCACAAATTACTTATCTGCTACAGAGAGGAAAATGATAACTTTACAGCTGAGAAACCTAATGTACACCACCTTAACCAGTGATTAAAGCTGGCATCACTGAGATTGAGACAAACCAACATTATGTGCCTCCTGGCATGATGCAACGAGGAGACCCCATTAGTTTTGTGGCATTCCTGTGGAAAAGGCACGATCTTAGCCCAATTATAAGGATACATCAGATAATCCAAGTTGAGAGCTATTTTACAAAATATTAAATCTACAGTCCTCAAAACTGACACAGACAAAAACAGCCGAGGAACTCTTCCAGATTAAAGGAGACTACAGAAACAAAGAATTCTCCTCTTATTTACTTTGAGCACGTCATCAGGATGAACACTTGGAGAAAGATAACATGCTTAAAAGAAGGTCAGCAAAAGAAGGGGGACCTTCTCAGTGAGCTGCATGTGGCTGCAACAGTGTGCTCAAGGACAGAGGCGATTCTCAAGCGTGAATGGCTTAAGACAGGATTTGCTATGTGTCAAACTTACTCAGTGCACCTCAAAACAGCTAGATAGAATATGGGCTTGATCCTGAAAAAAGGAAAAGTAGATGTTCTTGTTAGGACATACACACTAAAGCTTTAAAAGAAAGGGGTGTAATGTCTGCAACTTAATTTCAAATAGTTCGGTATGTATGGAGAAAAAGAAAGAAGGAGGCAGAGAAACAGAAAGATTGAATAACTATGCTGGAGCAAAGTGTATTTGGTAAAGCAGATTAAAGGGCATAGTTGTGCAATTTTCTTTAAGTTTAAAGTTACGTCAAAAACTATCCCCCTAAAACACATTGAAATGATATAGTTGATCTTAGAGTTTGGTTCAAGTTTGATTCTGCAGATGGATATAAGGGAGAAGTAGACAGGAAACCAATTACATCTAGATTTTATAGATATCCACAAAAAGCCTTATAATCATAGACTTGATCTTAGAGCTTGAGTTCTGGTTGGTTCTGCAGATGGTTATAAGGAGGAGATAAAAATGGAACCAGGTGAGTCACTTTAGGGTTTAGTAGAAAACTCTACCAATTGCATGATATTGTTAGGTTGCCTTTAAGAAGATTATCTCTGATTCCAGTAATAAAATGATTTTGAGTGAGGATGTGTAGCAAATATATAGGATCACCACATTTATATAACTAAAATGAAGTTCAGCAGAAATAAAGGGGCCAGATAGTTTGTCATACTTTTTGGACTTTATTAAGACCGTCCAAGAGATAATAGATGTCACCAATAATATGGACAGGGTAGTAAGAGTTTTGGAAGCAGAAGTGGCATCCACTTCCTAAACAACATGCCTCTGGGAACTCTATGAATTCTGATAAATGTCGATAATTATAGAAAGGCTTCAGGCCTATTTGTTCATAGGGTCATTCTATGAGTCGTTCTCGACTCAAAGGCAATCAACAACAACAACAAACAATAACAGTTCTTACTGTTCTAGGCTCCATGGGCCATTTCCTCCCTTTAAGATGTACAGCCTTGGAAACTCAATAGAGGGTCATTCTGAGTTAGAATCGACTCAACAGAAATTTGAGTTTCAGAAATTTGAGTTTTTGAAGATAGATGCTACAAAGCAAGTGGGAAAGATCATGTTTTGGTGAGATTGCGGGGAAATCAGACACTTACCCATTACTGCAAAAACACAAAATGACGTGATTGCATTGGAACACAGTCTGGTAATAGCTTGAAAATTTACACACAAACATGTATACTAACTCCCTAAACATACACTAGTGACTAGTGATGAGTATTTGTTTTCTTTTTGGGATGAAGAAATGTTCTAAAACCAAACTTTTACAAAACTGTACAACTCTGTGAAATATACTAAAAGCCACTAACTGTACCCTTTAAATGAATGCAGTAGCATTACAGGAGCTGTGCTGCAATCCCAAAGCCACACAGTTCAAATCCACCAGCTACTCTGCAGGAGAAGGATGGGCAATCTCCCCTGGTGCTATTAACTGCCTCTGAAACCCCATTGGAGGGTCAGCTAGAGGTCCGTTTCTACTTGATGACACACAAGAACAAGAAGTAGCATTTGAATTCTATCTCAATAAACCCATAAAAATTCCCAAACAACTCCTATTTCCCACCCAAGACTTAGCTCATAACTGATGCTCTAGTTTGGAAAGGAAGAGAATCAGCAAAAGAGAGGAAGACCCTCGTCAAGACGGACTGTTACAGTGATTGCAGCAGTGGACTCAAGTGTGTCAGGGATGATGACAGAGTTCAGATCTGTTGCTCATAGCATCACTGTGAATTGTACTTGACTCAACAGCACTTAACAACAACAACAAGAAGCCAGCGGAGCTCCCTTAGAGCACAGAAGACTTCGATAATTAGTCGGTAAAGCCAGAGAAGCCCAATCGGAGCATAGTCCTGCACATTTTTTAGAATATTCCTGAACCACAGGTGTATTCAGAACTAGCCTGACTCTGATCTCCTGTTCTCTGGGTACAATTAGTAACAACACCCCTTCTACTCTGAGATGTGTCCCCCTTTTGGGCAAGAAATGACCTGCTGATGGAGGACAGGTATCCAGTAAGCAAACAAGAACGTCCTGATGGGCGATTTCCTCCCGTGCAACTTACCGCCTCTGAGAATCCTCTGAAGAGTCAGCTGTGAGTTGATTCTGACTTGGCCAGTACCCGATGACACTCATCTGTAGCAAACACTTCCATGTGGGGTGCACCATAGCTTGATGTGATGGAAAACATGTGAAATTATTAGCTACAGTTGAAGGAAAAGAATTTAAAAAATTAAATAAAAAAAAGAATATTCCAATGGGTATTTATGTAGACAAAAGACTTGCATACAATTGTTTGGACCAAACTCCATTTTAGCAAAGTATTGTTTTCAATACAGTTTTAATGTACACTGCATTTCCAGGAATTCAACTATTGGCTGAAACAGAAAAGCTTTCTCTTTAAAGCTTTGTTTTGTTGCACTTTTGAGAAAAACAGGTCACAAATCGCATCACCACTCGTGGTGTTTGTTTCCCCAATAAAAATATCTATATCTGTTTGTATTCACTCCCGGCCCATTCATGATGCAAACACCTGCTGGCAGACATGCCCAAGTATTTACATACTGAATCACATTTTCTTTTATATGAATCACTTTCTTTTTGTTTCTTCTTCCTATTATATGAAAGGCCATTACACCATGCGTCAGTCAGGGCTCGCCAGGTAAAAAGTGACTCACTATTTGCAGAGGGAAGAACAGATTTAAAGTAACCAAGAGTTTGGTGTCTTCATTTTCTAGGACTGTTAAAAAAAATACTACAAGGTGGATGCATTTATGGAATAGAAATTTATTTTCTTATGGTTTTGGAGGCTAAAAGTCCAATTCAGGGTCTCAGATATGTTGCTTCCTCCTGTGTGACTCCTCCAGTTATTAGGAACCACCAGCAAACTTTGGCATTCCTTTGTTTTTTACATCTACTTTCCTTGTCACATGATGTCATCCCTGTTGACTATCTCTGTATCTGTAACTGTTATTAGTTGCTGTTTGAGTTGGCTTTGACTCAGATCAAATGAAACCCTATTCAATCCTATGCCATTCTCACAATGTCTGTCTGCTGTGCTTAATCCCATTGTCACAGTCACTGTGTCAATTTATCTTGTGGATAGTTTCCTCTTCTTTGCTAACTTGGGACTTTTCCAAATATGATATTTTTGTCCTGAGACTGGTTCCTGAGACAGTGCATATTCTGACTGTACTTCTTTCGAGACAGATTTGTTTGTTCTTTTGGTAGCCATGTTGTTGTTGTTGTTGTTGTTATGTGCCGTCGAGTCGTCTGTGACTCATAGCGACCCTATGTACAACAGCCCTAAACTCCACTCTGTCCTGTGCCAATGGCACTGTCTCTGACACTCCCATCCCAATTATCCCAGTCACTGAATCAATCCACCTCATAGAGGGCCTTCCTCTCCTGCGCTGTCCCTCCACCCTCCCAAGCATGATGTCCCTCTCTAAGGACCGGTCTCTCCTCACAACATGTCCAAGGTATGTTAGACGGAGCCTCAGAATCCTTGCCTCCAAGGAGCCACCCGGTTTAACCTTTTCCAGGACAAATCTGTTTGTTTTCTTAGCAGTACATGGTATTCTCAATACTCTTCTCCAGCACCACAGCTCAAAGGCATCAATTCTCCTTCTATCCTCCTTGGTCATTGTCCAACTCTCTGATGCATAACAGGTGATTGCCAAGACAAGACCATGGCCTGTATCAGATGCACCTTAGTCTCCAAAGAGACACCATTGCTCTTCAGCACTTTGGAGAGGTCCCTAACAGCAGACTTTCCCATGGCAATGCGCCTTTTAATTTCCTGGCTGCTGGTGCCAAGACTGTTGACTATGGAGCCAAGCAAACTAAAGCTGTGTACAATCTCAATCTCTTCACCATCCATGCTGATGCTGCCAATTGGTCCAGTGGTGAGAATCTTGGTAAACTAAACTATGGTAGCCATAGTTTAGTCAATATTCTTTGCCAGGACCACAACTCCAAGGCATCAATTCTTCCTTACTCATTATTCAACTTTCACATGTATATGAAGCAACTGAAAATATGATGGCTTGAGATGGGTGTATCTTTGTCTTTCAATTGACAGCCTTGTTCTTTAGCACTTTAAAGAGATGTTTGGCAGCAGACTTGCTTGTACCCTACAGGGTACAGGTAGTTGTGCTGCTAAGTCAAAAGTAGTGCCTCTCTGGTAGTTCAAATCCCATGCCTACTCTGAGGGAGAAAGAAGATAAATCTCCTCCTGCTCAAATTAATTTTGTGTTAGACAATCATATGGTCTATTATGCTAGGAATGGAGAATTGGAGCAAAATTGTATTATTCATATTCATTATCAGAAAAAAACATTCAAGGTCTATCCTAAATAGCAGTAATAACCAAAATAGTGTGGTACTGGTACAGTGACAGGCACACAACCCAACAGAATAGAATGAGAACCCAGAAATGGACTCATCTGTTCAACTGATATTTGACAAGGAAATAAAATCTATCGAATAGAAAAATGACAACCTCTTCAACAAATGGTACTGGCAAAACTTGATGCCTGCAGAGAGCTAAAACAGGATCCACATCTCACACTATACACAAAAATCAACTCAAGGTGGATCAGAGACCTGAGAGTAAAGTTCCAAACTATAACATTCATCAGAGACAAACTGGGATCAAGCTTAGAAGGCCTAGTCTATGGTATAAAGAGACTGTCAAATACAGCCAGAAATGCACAATCTGGAGAGGTTAAAATTGATAAATTAGACCTTCTAAAGATTAAATCCCTGTGTGCGTGTAAAACACTTTCCAACAGAGTGGGAAAAAAAAAACCCTTACTGACTTGAAAAAAACATTTGGCAATACCATCTCATACAAGGGTCTCGTTTCAAAAGTTTTCAGCATCTTACAGGATCTCTACAAGAAAAAGACTGATAATCCAATTACAAAATGGATAAAATAAATGGAAACACTTTTCATAGAGGAAGATATTCAGATGGCAACCAGACACATGAAGAAATGTTCAAAATCACTGGCAATAAGAGAGATGGAAATCAAAACCACAATGAGATACCATCTCACACCAGTAGCAGTGGCAAAGTTTAACAGGACAAGTAATAAATGTCGGAGAAGATGTGGAGAGATAGGAACTCTAACACACTGTTGGTGGGATTGTAGAATGAATGGCACAGCCATTCTGGAAGGCAGTTTGGCATTTCCTCAAAAAGCTGAATATAGACATTCTATATGACTCAGCTATTCCACTGCTTGAAATATACCCAGAGAAAGTGAGAACTGAGGCACAAGGGGAGACTTGCACACCAATGTTTATAGTAGCTTTATTCACCATTGCAAGAACATAGAAATAGCCCAAATGTTCAACCACAATTGAATGGATTGAGAAATTATGGTACACTCACATGATGGAATACCACACAGCATACAGGAGCAATGATTTTGTAAATTACTACCTAACTTGAGAGGGACTGGAGAGAATTATGCTGAGTGAACTAACTCAGTCCCATAAGGACAAATACTGTGTAAGACTATTATTGTAGAAATAGAAATATAACTAGTAAAACATGTATGAGGATCCGAGGTGGGGGTGGGGGAACAGAGGGGGTAGGCTGGGGGTAAGGGGATAATCATAGGGTCATACAATCTGATGGGTGGAGGAAAGGGTAAGTAAAGGAAATGGGAAAGATCTGGTGTGAAAAACAATGTATACAAGCTTTATAAATAAATCAGTATAAAATAAAAAATTTCTTTTAAAAAAATCTATCCTAAACGATAATGCTCTCAGTAATAGAATAATGTCCATATGCATACAAGGAAGATGTGTAAATACATTATTCCCATTTTTAAAACTACTATGCTAAGATTGAAGAAAATTAGAACTTCTATCAACATCTGCAAACTGACATTAATTAAACATACAATCAAGATGCATTAATAATAGCTGGTAATTGGAATTCAGAAGTTGGAAACAAAAAAGGATTGTTGTTGTTAGGTGCTATCAAGTCAAGTACAACTCTTACTGATTCAATGAACAACAGAGCTGAACTCTGTCATATCTTGTACCATCCTCACAATCTCTGACACACTTGAGCCTATTGATGCAGTC